ATTATCTCAGCCCCTCTGATATTGTTCCACAATATTTCCTCTACCTGAATAACGGCACTGATCATTTCTTTGAATCTCCAATATTTATTTTGTATTTGCTCATTGTCCCTACATGTCCGAACAATGATTAACACTGTTACATAGTGGGATGAGAAAATAACACATCACATACGTTTCATTGTCTCGCAGGCTGGAGAAAACTATTCTCCCGTCGGCTATGATGGTATCATTTCGTCTGGGACGTAAAATAATGCTCCCTTCTCTCAAGAAATCTATATGTTGAAAATGGAGAATCTTCATATTTATGCAAAAGTGGACAATGACCTCTGATTCCATAAAGATCGTCTTCTAATTGTGTTTGCTATTGACAAAGACGTTTAGTATTTCTCATGCGAATATAGTACACAAGGCATGAATTATTTATACAAATCCTGAATAAAGAACCGACTCCCTCATGAGACACAAAAAGGAAGCAGAGGACTTCTCATGGATACTTTATATAGAAAAAAGGAAAGTATTTATTTCGTCTTTATTGTACCATGTGCCCATTGGAAAATGGCAATTTATCCTTCCCTCAACGCTTCATCGAAATCACAGATATGCAGATATGTTATACATTCTTGTTTCCTTCCGAAGGTAACTAAACTTAATATTGTTGCGTTGTACTATCATAATCATTAGAATCAGGACAGATCGAAAAATATAGAGGTCACGTTCAAATCGTACATGATGCTTCTTGTCTCTGTTTCTTCTTTTTCCTTTTGAAACTATTACACATGTCTCCGTACCTTCCCACAGATGTGAAATTTGCATCCTAAGAATAAATTCCTTGTAATTCAATTCCAGATATATGCGTGTTTATATTTACCCGCATTTTGACAGGTGTCTGTGGTACTCAGTCTGTTTCTTAGGGCCAGTTTGTAAAATAGTATACCCCAGTTTCCTCTTGCAAACGCGAAACGTTGTGACGGATACATTGAAGCTACCCCTTTATCCTAAAAGCCTCAACTTTTGTTACATCACAATCAAAATATCCATCCATCCTGAATAGACGCAACCACTGCCACTATGTTGTTCTCGTTTCACATAAAACATAACAATCTCTTTCGCAATTGATTCTTCCCCTCAAGATATAGACTTCGATTCTTTTCACTTCTCAAAAACTAAAGCATAGCCATAATTATCTTCTCCCCTTTCACTGTTTCTAAATGTATAAACT